ATAAATCAACTGCGACTCGTATTAATTAATTGACTCGTATTTTGCTTGGCATATCTTCCATGTAATAAGCTGTTTTTTTTTTCAGAAATTAACGAATTTAGAATACTATTCCTGCAATCGATGCGAGTCGAGATATCAGATATCTTAATCTCTTTCGAAAAGAAGATTCTATTTATATGAGAATCTTGAAAATGAGCTTGAAAATTCCAAGATACGAACTTCCTTCAACGGAGGATACCTCGACCTTCCCCAATGAAGTCTTCGCTTATTTATTCCGGGATGAACGGGCGAATTGAAACCTCCCTTCTCGAACGCTTCGAAACGGGTTAAACTCTCGTCTCCTCGTCTTTTCTCCCCACACCCTTTGTTCGAGAATCAAGCGGGAGAAAGATTTGCACGTACGCGTAAATAGAGAACAGAGAACGTCGTCGTCGTCTGGAAATTCAACGACTCTCTCGTGGCGATGCACGTGCGGCTGCGGTTCTGTAATCTGGTGCACCGTTCTCAAGGAAGGAAGGAAGGAAGGAAGGAAGGAAGGAAGGAAGGAAGGAAGGAAACGGAGGCGTTCCACCGCGTCTGGAAACGTCGAATCGATATTTGTTCAGCCCTCGCCCCAAAAGACGGGAGCGCGGCTCTCAGCCCACTTTGCGTTACGCTTTTCCGCGACCGGATTAGCATCGAGGGCGCGATGCTTGTTTTCGCGAGGCGCGGCGCTGCTCCTTTTCCAGATCACCATCAACTCGCGCGCGCGATTCTTTTTTCTTTTTAAGCGATTTTTAAAGCGATTTTTAAAGCGAATAACATTTTTGAGTCCGAATTTTTTTTTTTTTTTTTAATCTTCGGCTGAGAAAATTAATTATTCATTATTAAAATTATTCGTTATTAAAATTAATTATTAATTAATATCTCGATCTCGAGAATTTCAATCCTGTTTGTCGAAAGTGATTTTTTTTGGCGTGAGTAACAGTTTTTGAATCCGAGCAAATTAATTGGCGCGAATAATACTTTTGCGAACTTTTTTTTTTTGTTTGTTAATTTTCGGTCGAACAAATTAATGCTTTTGCGAATTTTTTTTATTTTATTTTAATCTTTTCTATTTCTTGAAATTGATTTTTGGTGTGAGTTATCCAAATTTGAGTTATCTAAATTTTGTTTTTTTTTTTTGTTAATCTTCGGCTAAATTAATTGCTTCAATCTCGAAAATTTCAATCTTGTTTCTCGAAGTTGATTTTTAAAGCGAGTAACATTTTTGAGTCCGAATTTTTTTTTTTTTTGTTAATCTAATCAAATTAATTGCTTCGATTTCAAGAATTCAATTTTATTTCTTAAAATTGATTTTTGACGCGAGTAATGCTTTTGCATTCAAATTTTTTTTTTCTTTGTTAATTTTCGGCCGAGAAAATTAATTGGCGCGAATAATGTTTTTGCGAATTTTTTTTTTTGTTAATCTTTGATCGAGAAAATTAATTATTCGTTCGATCTTGAGCAATTCTGTTTCTCGAAAATGATTTTTTTGGCATGAGTAACATTTTTGAATCCGAATTTTTTTTTTTTTTTTTTGTTATTTTCGGTCAAGCAAATTAATTGGCGCGAATAATGCTTTTGCGAATTTTTTTTATTTTATTTTAATCTTTAGTCGAGAAAATTAATTGTTCGTTCGATCTCGAGAATTTCAATCCTGTTTCTCGTAATTGATTTTTAAAGCGAGTAAATGCTTTTCCATCCGAATTTTCTTTTTTTTTTTTTTTTTTTTTTTAATCTTCGATCGAGTAAATTAATTGCTCGAGAATTTCAATCCTATTTCTCGAAGTTGATTTTTGGCACAAGTAATGCTTTAGTGTGCTTTAGAATTTTATTTTTTTTTTTGTTAATCTTCGGCCGAGCAAATTAATTGGCGCGAATAATGTTTTTGCGAATTTTTTTTTTTTTGTTAATCTTCGATCGAGTAAATTAATTGCTCGAGAATTTCAATCCTATTTCTCAAAGTTGATTTTTGGCACAAGTAACACTTTTGCATCCGAATTTTTTTTTTTATTTTGTTAATCTTCGGTCGAGCAAATTAATTATTACTTCGATCTCGAGAATTTCAATTCTTGAAGTTGATTTTTGGCGCGAGTAATGCTTTTGCATCCAAATTTTTTTTTTTTTTTTGGTTTGTGAAAGTTAATTTCGCAAGTAACATTTGTTAATATTGGAAAGATTGGTCTCTGATTGGTCTCTAATGCGAAAGAAACGTCTATTTTCACACGCATTTTTGTTTCTTGTATTTGTCGCACATAGTGTGACAGAGAAAAAGAGGCAATAAAACGACGATCTATATCTAAACCTCGACCTCGAACCTATTAACGATAGTTTCAATTTATAAATGTACGATACAGAATTTAAAGTTCACTTTAAAAATTTTATTTGTGATTTTATTATCGAACTTTGCCAGCAGCACCACTATTTCACAGTTGCTACCTATTTGTTTTCTAAACAGATACTCTCGATTGCGTATAATTAAATATATTCATTCAGCTAAATCCGTACATTTTATTTATTATATTTTCACTGCCAACAATGTAATTTTATATTCAAAATTTTGATCGAGATAAATATCTCAATTTTCAGATGACTACTCTAATAACAACTTTATAAATAAAAATAATTTTTACGACTTTTCAATATTCGAATTATACCTTTTCCACTACCGCGTTAGGATTGTCAAACGAATCTAAAATATTGTATTGTGTCCAAAATTGGATAGAAAAGACTTCTCTTCATTAGTGAAACGATGCATTGAATTTTTGCTAAAAGTTTGAAATTGATTTATCCGAGAGAAACTCCAAAAAGTTTTTTCTACGTTGTAATATACGTCCATTATTCCATACAGAAAGCGAGCAAGCGATGGACGTCTTAATCCCCCTCCCCCTCTCATTATCGATCGTGAGAATCGAATATCGCAGCTGTTTCCCCCATTAATCTATTATACGGATTAACAGGCTTATCGACAAAATGATCCGTGTAATAAGCGTAGGCGTAGTGGAAGACGCGGTCAGGATTCCTGCGGATAATTTATCGAAGGTTTATTACCGACCGAGTCGCTGCGTCAAGCTTAAACTTAAAACTCGCGTCGCTCTGGAAATAATCCAGTTTAAAACTTTCGTTACGTAAACAAGCTTTATGAATTTCTCTCTCCATTGTAATTTATAACAAGGGGGAGCAAGCAAGCAACCGAGGGATACTTAGAATTAAATAAATAAGTAAATACTTAGAAATAAATAAGTTATAATAGATTAATAATAGATTAGAATTAAATTATTATTATCTCTCGTTTCGATCCATTTTCCTTTTCCATTTCATTTCGTTTGATTCGTGAATTCGGAGAATTCTCTCGACGTTTCGGCCGAGATGATTTCGAAATTAGGCAATTAATTTGCACAGGTCTGTCCCCGAGGCGCGGGTCGATCGTCTCTTGGGCGCACGTATTCGGGCCCTTGACGGCCCCCTGAGTGGGTGGCGGCCAGTAATGCGTAACGCACAGTCCGGACACGTTGCATTCGAGTAATTAAGCGCGGGGACATAATAATTCGCGTGACAGGTGCACCGAACTTTTAGACGTCCTACATTTTCCTGTTGAATTTCGACCAGACACTGGTCAGAGACACGATATCCTTTTTCAATTCTTTCAAACTTTGTTTTTCGCTCCACACAGACATTCGGTGTTTTCTTACTTAATTTAAAATGATTTCAAATAAAAGCAATAAAACTTTTATATTTTAATATTTTGTGTATGTTTGCGTACAAGGAAAGAAAATTTATCGAATTTATCTTTTTTATCGCATAATTATTTTTTTCGAGGATTTCATTTAATGAAATTCATCAGTTTAAAAGAATCTAATAGTTCATTTATATTCGAAGATGCTTGAGAAGAAGAATACAAATTGTACATATTTTTCGATTCTACGCGTGTTATCCGTTTGGAATTTTCTGCGTCTTTTGCGATATCTTCGCTTGAACCATTCACCATCTATTACTCTTATTTTTCGCTTGTATCTCTTATTTCATTTTTATCTTTTCATCGTCGCTTTCTCTGTCGTTAATTTCTTTACGAATGAAAGTAATTTCGTCGTTCGTTAACGAAAAATCAAACTCGTCTTCGCTCCAATTAATTACATTACTTCTTGCTTACAAAACTTTGAAAAATAATATTTCTATTTAACTCGAATAAATTAAACTCGAACAAACGCCTAAGATATCGTCCGATCATTTAATTTGAGATCTCGGAAAAAATTCTAAGATAATATATTATACGATAAACAGCTTAGAAATATTCATTTTGGAAGCGATATTCCAAAAAATCAAATAGATAGATCGCCGCATGAAACCGTTGGAGGGCAAAGGGGTTGAAAAGTTCATCCACTCGGAACGAGATGATAGATAAGATAGCAGCCTTTAAAGATATTCCGCACGGATTATTCCATCGCCGATAATATTCCCCTCTTTCGTGAAATTTCACCGCTATTTCCATAATTCCGCCCTGAATAAAATTTCCACCAACCTCATTTTCACTCCTCGTATTATAGTTTCTCCCTTCGACAATTTCTCTCTACGCGCACAGATTTTCCACCCTCGGTGTAAACAGAGAAAAAGAATCTTAGATCCAAGGACGATGCCTCGTTGAGGCGAGAATTATCGATCGATGATCGAGTCGGCCAGGCTGTTTCTCCGTTATTCTTATCGTCGCTCGATCGATTACATTCCATATCGGTTTCGAGACCTTTTAATCGCATACGTATCCCCCTCCTTCCCCCAAAATTTCATTTATTCGATCGTAGGATCGCATTTCAATCTTTTGTACATTTATAATTTTTTTATATAATTTTTGTTTATGTATATTTTAATAATTATATTTATATATTTTTAATAATTATATTTTAATAATAATTATTGCAAGTTGAACGGGGGGGGGGCCGTCTGATGGTCTCTTTTTATTTTATTTTTTATCTTCTCTTTTCCAGAGGCCGAGTGCTGCGTTGGCGAGGCAACGGGCGAGGCGTGCTGGGAGCCTTGTTACTGCGTCCTCCTCCAGGATGAACAGACCCTCACGGCTTACAGGAGCGAGGACATGGCGGTGAGTACGCCCCCTTCTTTTCCATCCTTTAGTTCGGCTCGATCGTGAAAAGCCTGCCCAATTCGACCGCTAGGCTTCCTTTCTTTCTTTCCTTCTTCGTCGAGCACGTTCGTGGCGAGAGAATCGTTTCTTACAAAAATTCGCGAATTTCGTGAATTCGTTGCAATTTTCTTTAAACACAGGATTTTGCATTTCTCGTCCCGTAGCGTGGATTCAAGTGGATAGAAAATTTCATAGGAAATAGATAGAAATAAAACGTGGGATGAATAAATTAGATGATTCGAAGAATGATATTCCCTTTGTTGCAGTTTTCAAGTAGTCAAGGATATCGTTTTATACCTCGTTTTCATATCCCCAATTTTCCAATATCCGGTTTCGAGACGTTTTAATCGCGTATCCCCTTCCTTCCCTCAAATTTCATCTTATCCGATTATAGGATTGCATTTTAAACCTTTTTTTTTTAATATAATTTATAATAATTATTACAAGTTGAATTATATCATAAGCCACAAATTTTCGTTCAATCATGTAATAGAATATTAAATTCAATTGTACTATTTAGTAATAGAGTCTTGTAAAACTCATACATAGTTTTAACAATTGAAGAACGAAGAGGAAGAAACTCGAGCGCCCCCTCCTTTCCTTAAAATTTCACCTTATTCGATCGTAGGATTGCATTTTAATCCTTTTTTTTAATATAATATAATAATAAAGAAATCATAGAAATCATAGAAATAATATATAATAATAAAGATATCATAGAAATAATAGAAATTTATTATTATTAAATAACTATTATTAAATAGTAAAGTAATGAATATTAAAGTAATAGAATATTAAATATATATATAAATAAATATATATATAATAAATAAATATATATGATTATAAAGTATTGAATATTAATGTAATAGAATATAAATTCAATTATTTACTAATAGAATCTTGTAAAACTCGCACATAGTTTTAACAATTGAAGAACGAAGAGGACGAAACTCGAGCGCCCTCTCCTTTCCTTAAAATTTCATTAAATATTAAAGTAATATAATATTATATAGTAATATTAGAATATTAGAATATTAAAGTAATAGAATATTAAATAATAAAGTATTGAATATTAAAGTAATAGAATATTAAATTCAATTGCACTACTTACTAATAGAATCTTGTAAAACTCACACCTAGTTTAACAGTTGAAAAAACGAAGAGAACGAAACTCGAAAAGCGCGTTACGCCTGTAGTCAAGAAGACGAAAGTGAGAACGAGATAGAAACTGAACTCAGCGCTCGTCACAGCCTAGTACACCTATCCGATGATAAAACAGTTTTTACACAAAGTGTAAAAACGGAATCGTACGAATTCCCTGATTCGTGGCGCGGCGGTTAATTGGCGAGTCACTCGAGAACGAATTATCAGAATAAAGGAAGGAGGATAGGATAGTAGTAGTAGTAGTAGTAGTAGTAGTCGTAATCGGAAAGTTGTACACTGGGAAGGCAAACAAACGGCGGTCGGGCCGTTTCCAACTTGGTCTCTCGACTCTCGGCTCGGCTTGCCGTTTTATCGCGTTCACGCGTCGCGTAGAGGAGGAGGAGGGGAGGGAGGGGAGTCGTTGTGGCGCGTCGTTGCGTTTGATCGCGCGCTCGGAATGGCGAAAGGGATGGCCAGCCCTCTAATTCGATTAGAAAGTTTATATCCCCCTTCCCCCTCGCGTTTGCGTTTCCAATCCCTTTGAAGACTTTCTACTTCTGTTGTGCTCGATCGAAATTGCATTAAATCCAAGTTCCTTCGCCTATTTTGCTAAGAGGGAGTTCTGAGTTATTATTAAAAGGAGGGAGGTGTCTTTTGAATTTATTTCTTTCTTTCGCGACAGAAAGAAAGGAACGATAATTTAATCCGTTCGAGATTTTTCTGGAGAAGGAAAAAGAAGGGAAAAGAAGGTATATAGGAGGATTATTATATTTCTCGAGCGCGCCAGTGGATATTTTCACGCGTCGACGTGAATTCTCCGCTTCCGGTCACGCGATCGTGAGGACGTCCTCCTCGTATTAACCGCGTTCGCGTTATCGCGAAGGGAATATCGTAGTGGATAGAAGAAGGAGAGAAAAAAAAGAAAGAGAGAAGCGTAATCGAAACTCTTCCGCTCTGAACTTTTCAACCGCTCTCAGACACGCGAGAGCTTTCTATGGAAGCTTAAGCTAATAACTTTCCGCCAGAGTTGCTTCCCACTGTCGTCTCCCTCTCTCTCTCTCTCTCNTCTCTCTCTCTCTCTCTCTCTCTCTCTCTCTCTCTCTCTCTCTCTCTCTCCCTTTATTTTCTTTCTCTTTACTGCAGTTTTACGAAGAAGTTTCTTCTTCCTTCCTCCTGCGTTTTTTTCGCGCGAAATAGCGGCGTAAAAAAAAAGTGGACGTGGATTCTTCTCTTTCCTCGAGCCTCATCTTTGTTGCATCATCGTTGTTGCAACGTTATTGGAGGAGAGGAAAATATTTCGAGTGAATTGCGCGCGAATTTAAAGCGGTTTGTCCGGGCTAAAAATTGTCGAGAATTGTTTCGGTTGGATTGGATTCTTTTTTCTTCCCGTGGATGTGGAAAAGAAATGTGTAGCGCAGGATCGCGAGCCAACTTTTGTCTCTCGCGTTTGGCGACAATTCCATTCCACGAATAACCGTCTCGTTGACACATTTTACCCCTAGTTTTATTCCCCCTGTCCACTCGGCTATTTTGCTCTGCGCGCATAGTTGTCAGTGAAACGAAGGAAGGTTGGAAGGGACGAGGTCTCTCTTGTTCCGGGGATCCATTTTGGTCGACTCGGTTCCTCCTCCTCCAAGCGTAGCCGATCGTCGACCTCTTTTTCCACCGTCTCCGAGAATTCTACTTGTTACATTGCTTTCAACCGCGTCCCCTACCCGAGATTAGCTAATTTTAAAAGTCCAACGGGGAATCTACTTCTTCGAGGCAATTATCCCGATCCCTGCCTCGAGTCGTCTCGTTGTCAGTCCTTCGCGCCACCTTCTAGTCTTCGTCTTCTTCGTGTGTGTATACGTGTGTATGTGGTGGTTATATAGTAGAATTAATTTTGATACTTGATGGGGCGAGAAACTTGTGTGTGAAATCGATACGCCGGTGAAGAAGCTTTAAGGTGAGAATACTTTGAGGGAATATTTTTTGCGAATGAGAGTAATTCGAAAGATTATTATTATAATTGGAAAGAGAAAAAAATTTTCTGAAGCTCGTTTTGCTTTCGTTTTCAATTGGTATTTTGGCAATAAATTTTTACGAATTTACTCTTTTTTAAAAAAGAAATGTTTTTTTAAAAATCAGAATCGCATTCTGCCATTCAGAAAATTCCGAGGAAACGATAGCAAAATTAATTTTGTGATGGGGCGAGATGAAGATCGACGAAGCTTTAAGCTTTAAGAAAGTCCAGTTGAGAATAATTTTTATCGAAAAAAAAACTCTCTTGAAAACTTTACCATTTTGTCTTCGTAATATTTTGGTAAAATTTTTCGAATTTATTCAATTCTTTCATAGAAGAAATATTTTTTAAAAAATCCAGAAAATTCCGAGGAAACGATAGTAAAATTAATTTTGCGAGATGAAGATTGTGTGAAATGTGAAGAATTTTTCAAAAAACCACTATTACTTTACTATTATTAATAATAATAATAACTATTATATATAATAACTAATAATAATAATAACTATTACTATTGTTAATAATAATAAATATCACTATTATTTTACTATTTTGCTTTCATCTTCATAATATTTTGCTAAAATTTTACAAATTTACCAATTCTTTCCTAGAAGAAATATTTTTTAAAAAATTCAGAAAATTTCGAGGAAACGAAAATAAAATTAATTTTGCGAGATGAAGTGTGAAATGTGAAGAATTTTTCAAAAAACCACTTTACCATTTATCATAATATTTTGCTAAAATTTTACAAATTTACCAATTCTTTTATAAAGAAATATTTTTTAAAAAATTCAGAAAATTTCGAGGAAACGATAGTAAAATTAATTTTGCGAGATGAAGATTGTGTGAAATGTGAAGAATTTTTCAAAAAACCACTATTACTTTACTATTAATAATAATAATAATAACTATTATATATAATAACTAATAATAATAATAACTATTACTATTATTAATAATAATAAATATCATTATTATTTTACTATTTTGCTTTCATCTTCATAATATTTTGTTAAAATTTTACAAATTTACCAATTCTTTCATGAAGAAATATTTTTTAAAAAATTCAGAAAATTCCGAGAAAACGATAGTAAAATTAATTTTGCGAGATTATATGAAATGTGAAAAACTTTTTAAAAAACCACTTTACTACTTTGTTTTTGTCTTCATAATATTTTGCTAAAATTTTTCGAATTTACCAATTCTTTCATGAAGAAATATTTTTTAAAAAATCAGAATCGCATTCTGCCATTCAGAAAATTCCAAGGAAATGATAGTAAAATGTGAAATGTGAAGAACTTTTCAAAAAACCACTTTACTACTTTGTTTTTATCCCCATAATATTTTGCTAAAATTTTTCGAATTTACCAATTCTTTTATAAAGAAATATTTTTTAAAAAATTCAAAAAATTTCGAGGAAACGATAGTAAAATTAATTTTGCGAGATTATATGAAATGTGAAAAACTTTTCAAAAAACCACTTTACCACTTTGCTTTCATAATATTTTGCTAAAATTTTACAAATTTACCAATTCTTTCCTAGAAGAAATATTTTTTAAAAAACCACATTAAGAATAATATTCTGTTATTCAGAAAATTCCAAGCGAAACGATAGCAAAATTACAAAAAACCACTTTATCACTTTACTTTCGTCCTCATAATATTTTGCTAAAAATTTTATCAATTTATTCCTCGAGAGTAGATATTTTTAAAAAAATATTCTTCACCGATAGAAATCACGGACTATTACTATACATACACGTACATACGTACATGAAATTTCGAGGAAACGAGGAGAGTTCCACAC